CACTCTATGACCAGCCACACCCCCCACCTTACCTAGGTCACATCAATGTCTTTTCCACTCAATTATCCCTCTTTCCCACGTTTTTGAGTGCTGAATATTCATCCTCTCTCCTCACTTCTCTCATTTGCTCTCATTTCACAAGAAGATCAAACTCTTTCCTCTCTCACTTTCTCTCTCTAGAAATTCGAGATTCAAGGGCTGATCTTGAGTTTTTCCTCCACATTTGGTAAGCATAATCCATTCTCTTTATGATTATCTCAATTATTTCCACTCAAATCATGGATATCTTAGACAAACTCTCTCATAATTGTGTTAGATCTTCGAATCTTCAAGTGATTCTTCAAGTGTTCTTGGGTTGAACACTTATCTTCTTCAACACTTACCTACTGAAATCACTTAAGGTGAGTTCATACCCCTACATTTTCATGTTTTCTCAAGTTTCCAGGGGGGAATACAAGTTAAAACACTAAGAACATAATTAAAATTTTCTAACAGCCTTCATCAGAAAAGTTCAACTCCATTCACGGACTGTTTTGGGCATCTTAAACATTTTTGTTTTCAAAACTGTACAAGGTGCAAATAGTTCAAGTTTGTAGCTTTAAAATGACTACTTGCACATCTCCATACGATTTTTCTACAATTTATGGTGATTTTTACAAAACTGCCTATCATTTCAAACAACAATCCGGACCAGTCTGTGATTATGGACATTTTCACCCAAGTTGGAGGTCATTAAAAATCGTGATAAAAATTATGAGTAAACTAGACACATTTTTGAACTCTCAGAATTTACGGATCTAGTTTTCGACTTCGTATGATTTTTCTATGATTTTTACAAAACTGGGCAGAATTGCTAAAGTTAGCCAACAGCATGTAAATATCATAACACTTTGTAATATGTTGAGCAAAGTGTATAATCATAAGTTCTAATATTTGAATGTGTTTCCTTGTTAGTTTATCATTGTGAACTGAAACTAAGTTATTCATATTAAATATTATTCATTCATTTAGAACACGTATTATGTAACTATAAAAGTATAGTTGGATAAATTCACAACACTAATACATTTCCATAAAAAGAATTCATACATATTATATACATTTTAGATAAACTATAATAGGTATAGTTTATGATACATCACTCAACACACTCGTACAAAAAGGGTACATTCATACAAGAAAGATTTATATCCACACACATTTCACGTATACTTGTTAACCTATGTTGTGAGACTCTCTCTCCCCGTACGTCCGAGTGCGGGATATAATTCCTGGTAGTTATAATCAAAATCTCCTTGAGGGAGAACGTGATGCTTGTATATAGATCTATATTGGGTTTGACACCCCACACCTTGCTGCTAGCTACAGTGGGACCTGCAGGTCTACGGGTGACAAATGTCATTTCATTTTCGCGACGCCTAAAGAAGCGTTGTGGCAGGTTCACATAGTCACAGTATGATTATAGCGACTCACCTAGGGAGATAACAATTTACAAAGTTTACGGGGTTTCATAAAACTGAAGTAGGTTTTAGGTTGATAAAGAAATTTACTTCCCATATCATTTTAAACTCACGACATTTCTACTAATGATTTCTTATACATTTTAGTCTTTGGTTATAAGGCTACATTTTTTTTTTTGGAGTTCAAGGAAAATATCGGATTTTTCTGACACAAACGCGACATTTACACGTGATAGACTTCTACTAAGTTTATTAATAAAAGCTTATGAACTCACCAACCTTTGTGTTGACACTTTTCAAACAACTCGTATTCTCAGGAAAACACTAAACAGGTAATCAAGTGCTTTTGAGGATGGGACGTTAAGACGTCAAACTTTTCATATTTTGTCAACATATTGTAATTGATTTTGAAACATGTAATTCATACAAGTGATGTAACTTTTTCAATTATATATATGTTGGTTGTGTTTGCTTAAATTACTATTGAAATTGTGGTTATGATACTGTACATGAAGTCCTCCACCCTCGGACGTTTCCGCCATCCTTGGTTTGGGGGTGTGACAATGGAGGATATATAAGGTTGTTTAAATAGGGTGCAAACCTTCAGATTAGGGTTTTGTCCAACCAAAGCCTACTCATCGAGTCCAACCACCAACTCGATAAGTCCGCCACTTAACCCCAGGTCCAAACCGCTACTACTCGACGAGTTGGGCCATCAACTTGGCGAGACTCAATCTAAAATGAGAAACAAATACTCAATGAACAACATACCAGGAACCGGGTGCTACAATTATGTTTATCATGTTTTTCTAGGAACAAATTCCACAATATATTTCTTTAAAAATATACTCTAATCTTTAAATAAGCATAAATAACTTTTTTTAAATGACCGTGAATTTGTGGATTTCACAGAAACCCTATGCTACCATGCATCATATAATCAGGAAATTCTATCATGAAATTCCTGAAGATCCCTTGCCTAACACTAGCATGTTGTTCTAACATATCACAATATCAAATAACAGTGTAGTAATTTGGGGTCTACTTACTGGCTCTGGCTGATCCTACACATCGTATCCTCTTTGATTAATTTTAAAATCATTTTTAAAACATTTTTCCTTAGTTAAAGATAGGATTCACATGAGTATTCCTCAAATTCACTGAAACCAATGCTCCGATACCACCTTGTAACATCCATAAAAATCATAAGAAATTTAAACTTTTAATATTAGCCCAAAACCATAAATAGTTTACAAATTGTAGTTTTCAAAATATATTTCCAAACGTCAGAGTCTCCCAAAATCATAAGTCATAAATGAGAGGATGTGTACGGTCATGCCTTTGCCTTCATAGGATCATCCGAAGTACCTGAAACCACAACCCAAAAACCGTAAGCCAACGCTTAGTGAGTTCCCCCAATAAAAAATAGCATGCATGCAGAGCCTTGAACCTGACTGGAATTCGGCACCGGCCTACAAACTATCTGGACCTCTCACAGAACCTTCAGCATGACTGGACCGCCTCACTGGGTCTTCATCCTATCCGGACAATTCTCCGGGCCTTCGGACTAACTTGTATGCCTCTCAGGCCTCTAGTCTATCCGGGCCGCCATGGGTCCCTTGGCCATCAATCTACATTGGTCTTCCTCAACTCAACCACACATAACATGTCCATATATACATCACAGATAAACATACATGTAACCAATCAACAGAAAATCAGGCAGATCTACATATCACTAAGCATAACATCATCCTATATACCAGGATACCGATCTAATAGATCACTACATCACGGTAACATACTATCACATAAAAAGATATCTAATCCAATGGGATAGCCTAGGTGTCTTTGACTCGCAAGTAGAGTGAGGAAAAACTCACCTCACAGACTTGACAAAAAGTTGATGAGGTCTCGACTCCGAATATCAACTCTAACCGTCACCTAACCAACCAAATGACCAATCACAATCAAAATCCCAAAATATCCAAAATACCTTTAGGTCAAACTTGGTCAAAGTTAAAGTAAAAGTCAAACTAGTCAAATCAACTAAGTCAACCCAGTCGAGTCACCATAGAGTGTGTACATGGGGTGTACTCCAAATGTACATTGGGCGTACTCGAATGTTGATCACCATCGGGGTGGTTGACCTTGTATGCGGGGCGTACTCCCCGACCACTAAAATATTATTAAGATCTTAATGGGTTAAATCTCTCACATCCATCTTTTAGATCCATGGCTAAAATACCCTCAAGATTCATAAAGTTTCCAACTTTATGACTCTACATGTCTTGTAAGTGCTTAACTCAACTTCATAATCCATTAAGACCTTCTACATGATGCATGGAGCAAAATCAAACATTTGGAACCCATTTTTATGACTCAAGACCCATCTAAAGGTCTGAAAGGATAACTTAACGGGTCAAGAAAATGATATGTTCATGAATCTCTGCATTTGGGACAAAAAGGATAAAAAACCATTCCAACACAATATCTAAATGAAACTTCACCAAGTTCAGAGCTTGATACCTCAAAATTGTGCCAAAGGGGTGGTATGATCCTAGATCTAAAGAGCTTCACTTTTCCAATGTGGTTTCTCCTTCCTTCCTTCTTCTTTAAAAGAAAAAAAAACACACACTCTCAAGCTTAGAAATGCTATAATATGGATTAGGGTTGCAATAATTTATCAAGAGGATGGAGGCTGATGTTGTGAGGGGAAAATAGGCTATAACGGGGTTTAAATATGAGCTAAACCCTAAAAATTAGGGTTTGCATGCCTGGCACGTATGTTTAATGTACTAGGGAAAGCTCCCGTACACATGTATGCTTGGCGTACTCCCTCAACCCCAATATTATGAAAATGACACTAGGGCCTTCATGGCACACTTTCCTATGCTTAGGGTCCAAATTGCAATATAATAAAATTATAGGGTCAAAATTAGAAGTACCTTATCATCGTGATGTTATAGAAATGGGTCCAGTAAAAGAAAATGGTTGCAAAGGAAGAATCGATTCACTCTTGCTCTACCCCCACCATCTCTATTCTCTGATCATATCACCCACCAATTACCAAACACCACTGCCATAAAAATTCAATCTCACCATCACCAATACCACCATCACCACTACCACCATCACGAACCACTACATGTCTATAGAAACCAACCAAACTCCACACAAAAATTAGCCAACACACACAAAATCGATTCAGAGAAGAACAAGGGATAGGGCACGACCAACATACACACACCCTTCATTAGAAGAAGATGATGGGGAATTTCAATGTGGCAATCGCCCTTTTTTATCTGCAACAAATCAATGATATACATATCATAATAGATTCAATTAAAATTTGAAGATTATTATCGGAGTCTTGAAACACATTGCAAATCAAAATTAACACTTCATAATACAATAAATTATAATGAAACATTAAGTTTCAGTAGATTGAATATGGAAGAGTAATGGAATAGAATGGAGTCAAGATCGAAACCTAAATGATTCCCATGAAAATCTTTGAACTCGACGTCCAATAGAGTATCAAAATTCATGATAACAACATCGGTAGGAATACCCCGAGTATGCACCAACATTGTTGATCTCTTCATCATACGACGATACAATAAAATCCAAACCAGCTCCAATCGAACCCATATTCAAATTAGCTATAAATAATGAAAAATACGTTGAGAAACTCTCTAGATTAAGGCTCCGATGTCGCTGAAATCTAACAAGCTTGTTGTAAGAAATCCTATGGGCACAAGAGTCAATGATAGGGAGATCTCGGGTGAGTCTAACACAGTAGTTGAACAAGTGAGCGTCGACGAGGAAATTTAATCCGGTGAGGGTAAGTGCTTGGATGTCAAATGAGGTGGTTCTGGTGGCTATATTGCTGAAAAAAAGGAGGAAAAGCATATATTAAAACATAGTGAAAAGGGTGTTTATGCTAGAAATTAATGAAGAAGGCATGGTTTATGAGCAAGATATGAGGAACATCCATAGAGAATTCTTGAGATTACTGATGAACCCGATCCAAAAAACTTAGGATTTAAATGAAAACCCAAAAAAATACACATCACAAGAACCATTTTTGAAGTTTTGTATAATATAAAAAATATGTTGACTAAAGGTGGACTCCCACATGGTGCTTGAGCTCATCATGCTAGGAGTATGAGAATCAGATTTCTAAAATATTGAAATCGGACCATTTAGTGGATTAAAATAAAAAGTGTGACTTACGATTCAACCTAGTTATCTAATCCACTAGTGAAATTGATTTTCTATAAAGAGGAATATGAAATCATTTTCTGCTAACTAACGAAACAAATATAAATTTTTTGATTTTCGACCAAAAAAACTTGACTTCTGCAAATCAACTGTATTTCTGCATTTGAAGTTTGTAATAAATTTTGTTCAAAAACACACATATCAAGGGACGAACATGATGTCTCAAGGGTAGGATGAAACCAGTAATCTCCTCTCTATCAACCTCATCTTTGAAGACACTCCCAATGTAGTGTCCTCTACCTAAGAGCACTCAGCAAACCCAAAGCTCTTCAAAAGATCCAGGAGCTACTACATCCATGTAACGCCCCGTTTTCACCTACCAGTATAAATGTTAAATAAACTTTTTGATAGAATACTATTAAGGATAAATAGTCTTGAAAAAAGTTACAGTAGTCGTAAAAGCGAGACCGTAAACATTTAGAAGCCTGAAATCTGACTTTGTTTGAGGAAATTATGATTTTTAGAAGTTTTAGCACAGTAGTGTACGACACAGGAACCAAAATAGAAATCAGTCGATTGTTAGGAAAAAATATAAACAAGAGTTGAGGATCTTCTCCATATGATTTCGTCAATATAAAGACAGTTGAGAACGAAATTCATATGAGAGAGTTATGATTATTATACAGGTTTTAACAGTCTAAGCATGTTAAAAATATAACTTTAAAGATAAACTGAGAATTACCCGATAGAGTCTAAATGAAAGTTTAAGATCTCATTGATAGCTATGCGTGGATATAAAAAGTCAAAACAGAGCTCGTATTGAGATGATATGATCTTTTGAATATTTTGTTAATTTATGCGCGAGCTGGCGTGCACAGACAAAGCGCGTGGCACACACTAACACACCACCCAGATTTCACCACATCTCAGCATTCAGAAGGAGCCACATCATCACACCATACCAAGCATGCATTATGCACATAGAGGATGTGCACCGTGCGCCCCTTTTCTTGCTATAAATAGACAACGATTTTCATTCATTTTCTCAATCCCTTTTCATCCAGAATCCTCTGGAACTCCCCAGATCCCTTAGTCCCTTTACTTTCTACTTTTCAACTACTTTAGCAAGGCCATTCAGTGTTAGAAGGCCAGAGAATTAGAAGCTCACACGTTGGAGTACTTCCAGTGCAATCTTCTAGTTTCACTGGAAACTCTCAGTATTTAGGCTATACTTACGATGCTTTAAATATACCTTATATTTATATTCATATTCGTTGTTATGAATATATAAATAGGGTTTATTAGTAGTTCTAGTTATAATGCCGATTGATCTACATACGGGAGAGCTTTCTAAAGTTGTCATGTTGGCTTGGTTGCTAGATTTTAGAAAGGCAATATGTTGAAATGGTCCTGCGTCCCAACTGTCCAGCCTGGCTGATCATTATTTGATAGAACTCTCAATGTTAGGCGTCTTACCCACTAGTTGATCATTAGTGAAATATCTAGCTTTCATTACGAAATTGACATAGGAATTAATAAGTAATGGTATTATAGGTTAATACTTGTTAGGCGTCTTACCCACTAGTTGGATCGCCAGCAAGATCACCTAGATAGTTGTCAATCGTCTGTGTATTTGTCCAAGTGAGTTATCTAACTATACCATGTAGTACAATACATGTCCATGCTTTTAAAAATAAAGATCTTGTATAATAGTTAGAATAGTCTCTTTGTGCTTAAGTGTAAATAGGTAAAGTAGAAAGTATAAATGTTCTTGTAGAATCTAAAGTACAGTCTGTACATTCGTAATTGGTGTGATATTAGAGTTAGTTAGAGGGTTGATTGCGGAATGAGCAAAGAACAAGAGCTTATAGACCCACATATATTTAGTTCAGGTTGATGGTGGACAACCAAAGAACAGGAGCCTATAGACCCAAATAGATTTAGTTAGGGTTGATGGTGGAACGACCAAAGAACGGGAGCTTGTAGACCCACATAGATTTAGTTAAGTTTGACGGTGGAATGAACAAAAAACGGGAGCCTATAGACCTACGTAGATTTTTTTAGGGAAGATGGCAGAACGACCAAAGTATGGGAGCCTTTGCTTGTATGAATGTATATGTATTGTAGTATATGGTATTTTTGGGAACTCACTAACCCTAGCACTTTCCTAGTTGTTTATAAATGTTTTTTAGGTAATGTATTGATACATGAGAAGGGCAAGGTTCAATTGTATACATGTGTATTTGCAACATGTTTTTTCTAAATATAATCATACTCTTATATATTTTAAAAGATAAAAATGAAAATTGGGAAGTTACAATCCAAATCTCTAGGATCACAATTGTTGCATCTAAATCTCTTACAATTTTCCCTTATTTTAATTCCAACACCTTAATTTCTTATTCTCATCTCATTACATTTTCATCTATTTGCTAAATAGAATGTCTCAGAAAGAAAATTGGAATTGTATGCTTCCAATGGTGATAGTCCCAAATAAATAAATTCGAAAAGGAGGCGGAGACAAATGCACTCTTGGTGCTCGATGAAACATATCAAAGAAAATTGCATTCACATATTGCAATATATGACATCTTAAAGTGTGACACCTAATGTTATAACTCATTTGCTGTAAGAAAGCATCTATGTGTTGCACTGCATTCAAAGTTAAAAGAAAGACTCCATACTACAGGCTTTGTAAATTCGATCATCACTAAGGTTCTAAAAATGAAATATTTTTGAAATACATACACATACCAAAGAAGAAAATTGAAGGAATCGAGAAGGAGTTCATCGATAAGCCAAGTAAACATCAAACATGTGTAACAACCTAAATTATCAAATAAAATTATCATTTTTAATTAACCAAAGTTCCCATAAAATATGAAGTAACAATGACAATTGTTTTCAAAATTCATAACATTAACATTTTTTTTCAAACATCAGAGTGTCCCATCAAAATGTTGGAGAGTACATGTCATGTCATCAAGCATTGCCCTTGCCCTAAGGCTTAGTAGTACCTGAAACAGATCAACAAACTCTAAGCTAATACTCAGTGAGTTCCCTAGAGCATACCCACACAATCTGCACAATCCACATATATCATATTATCTATAAAAGCTACATAAATCACATAAGCCATGCAGATAACATATATGGATGTCGTGGGCTCCCCCACAGTCTTACTCCAGGATGCCATGGGCTCCCCACATCGTCTCACACCTAAGTGTCATGGGCTCCCCTATGGTCTTTAATAGGAAAGCCATGGGCTCCCCACATGATCTTACATCTAGGTGCCATGGGCTCCCCTATGGTCTTTAATAGGAAAGTCATAGGTTCTCCACATGGGCATACATCCAAGTACCATGGACTCCCCCATGGTCTTCCATTCAAGTGTACCACATATACAACTAGCATACCTCCTAACATACAATCAACAATCATACCACATAACACTACATCAACTAGTATACCACATATCATAGAATGGGCTGGTCTTGGTGCCTTCGACCCATTGATATGGTGAGGAGACTCACCTTCTCAAAATGTTGAACTAATAAGATAAGATCGGATAAGTCCCAACATGCAGCTCCAACTCAACTGCTTACAATCATCATGTGACTAGTTTTGTCAATATTCTAGAATACCAAAAATGCCCTCAAGGTCAAACTTGGTCGACCCTTATCAAAGTCCAAGTCAAAAATCAAGGTCATTAGTCCATGTTGACCCCAAATTGTCGAGTGCATCTAGTAACTCGTCGAGTTCCTTCAGAGTCCATAAAATCAGGACAAACACTAGCCAACTCGCCGAGTTTTCTCATCAACTCTACGATTTTACTCAATATCCAGTAGACAAGAAACCCGATCCAACTCGTTGAGTTTTCCCCTTGTTTGTCTATTTTGATGATACTTTGATTGCAGGGACCCTAGAGCTTAGATTTGAAAGCTAACGGTGGAAATCTCAAAAGCTTAGCCATGTCATTCAAGACTCTAGGGATCTTGAATCCCTCCTTTCTATAAGAGGTTCTAATACTTAAAACGTTCCAAAGATGGAGACTTTATGGACATGCATGTCCAATGCATGTCTTGAAGTCAAAATGGCCAAAGAGGGAAAGTATACCCTAAAATCCATGCATGGCATCCATGCTTGACCAAAAGCTAGATCTAGGCCACCAAGATACCATTTTGCCTTGGAGATTCATGAAGTTGAAAATTTTATGAAACCATGCATGAAATCGACAAGAATTATAGGAAATGAAGAGTAAAATCAAGATCTAGTCATACTCTAAGATAAAAATTGAATCTTGAGAGCTTACAATAGTCCACAAGATGGTCAAGCTCAAGAGTGAGGGATTTTTGTTGGATTTTCTCCTTCGTCTCACTATCTTCTTCTTTTTAAGCTCTAAAAGTCACGCCAACTCTCAATATGAGAGAAAATGGAGATTAAGGTTTAGCACTAAGGTTCTTAGGGTTTGGAGGCTGATGGAAGGCCAACCCAAAAGGTTTTAAATTGATTATAGGGTGCAAACCCTAAAATTTAGGGTTTTCCTTTACAGCGCCTACTCGCCGAGTTGGGCCTTCCAAGTCGTCAAGTAGGTCCTAAATCCCGTATCCCACAAATGATCTCTACTCAACAAGTTGGAGCTCCCTAACTCACTGTGTTCTAGTCTAAAAACCTAAAATTATGAAAAT